ATTTCTGCTCAATCAAGAATATGGCGCTACCATTGTCACTAACGAGTACGACTTGAGCTCCCGAGTCAAGAACGCGTCAATGGCAACTAGTAAATGTAATCATTTAATTTGCAGGCATATGCATGTTTGAGCATTTCGTGGCGCAAGCATGATGCCATTCGCCCTTCTTGTATCCTCGTCTTATTGCGCCCATGGCACTTCTGATAACATACCCACTCCCGTCCCGACCTCTTCCCGTAGGTTACCTCCCTCTCCGAGACCTCAATAGCGTTCGTGATTCTCAACCAGCTCCTCTTATTCACGGCATCAAGATGGCCAATGAGTGTTCAACGATTGTTGGCTACGCACATGGTCAGGAGCACTTTTCGGTCGGTAGCTAGCTCAATCACCCTCGCTCAGCCCTTCCAAATAGTTTGTGCTCCTTAGTAATTGTTGGTACTATTTGCTCGCCCTGCTCAATAGGCCCGAGCAGACGAGCTGACCACTTGGCTGCCCCTTGACCTTCGACGCTTCCTTGCCTTGGCGTCTGCACACACTCTGGGCGCGATTGAGCGACATTAGCAGCGTCTGACGATTGGCGTGGATTCAGGGCATGAATGGCACGCAATGCTGTCTCACTGCAGGCCTGAACATTTCATGGGCCTAGAGGTACACGGAAGTGCCTGCCCCGCGCACCCAGGTCTTCAGACAAAGGCGCAGTTTCTTGACAACGCCTCAGAAGAAGCCGTACTTGTGCGAAACAAAACAAGTACAGAGTGCAGGAACATTGATGGTTGGCGCTATCCATTCATCGACGACCGCCAAATATGGGCGTGAGACTATCCAATTCTCGGCTATAAGAAGGCGTGTTTGATGTCCGTATCTGGGACCCTCACCCCCGACGACGCATCCCTGACGAACAATTCTGCGCTTACTGAACCCAGCACAGCAATCGACTGCAACACGCAGCAATAGTAACAATTGGTCAAGATGAAGATGCAGACTTTTACGAGCACAATTACAGGTATGATCTTCTGCTCGTTTCTTTTGGCATCTCCTCAAGCTCAAGCTGCACCTGTTCTAGGCAGCGTGACCAGCTTGGTCCACGCCCCCCCATGCCACAATCTGAGCTCTCATTCCTCCGCTGTGAATGGCCAATTCCAGCAACTCAAGCATTGGTTCCAGCTCGAGACCATTATCCGCACTGTAGGTGAGTGGGGTGTAGAAGACATGACATGTGGTGGGGTTTGCCAAGCTTCTGACGATTGCTAATCTCGCCATTTGTATCTATGCAGACACTTTCTTTGGCACAAGCATAGCTTCTTTGGGCCCTGCGACAAGCCAGCGCATCAGTATCGAAGCAGATGACGAAGTCGCTCTCCCCGCCAGCACTTTGTCCGTGATCCCCGGCAGCGGCCGCGACCCGTCTCTGATCGATCTCAACATCGGAAACGTGTTTGGTGTCACCAAGCTGCTTAAGCGTCAGCGTTTCGTCCCCGGCCATGGCAAGAGCACTGGCGGAAATGGCGTCAACACCTACTCAACGACTGTTGCACGAAGCCAGTGCAAGGACGCAAATGGCAAACCGTGCGACAAGCGTTTCGGATTCAACGGATTGACGCAGTAGAAGTCTTGTTCGCGGTCTATCAGCGCTCTTGCCTCTTTCAAACCGACTGCACAGACGCCTGTGCAGTCTTTTGGAGCAGTGTAAGCTTCCTATCCTTACTCCAACTGTTTTCAGGCGCCACCCAGCCAAGCGTATCTGTCTTTGTCGCCATACACGCTTTTCAGCCTCTCATCTTCGTGAAGCACACTTTCTTTCTTTTCGTTCGCCGGAGCTTCTTCGCTGCCTGTACTCGATCTCTCGCTCAGCACCAAAAAAGTTCAATTCTACTCCAGTCGGCACATGACGCGCTCATGACAGTCTGAATGAGGGTCGCCAGCGTCGCTGACTCCTGCATTCGCATCTCAGGTCTCGCGAAGTAGGCTCACAAGAGCCGTGCGCGACGGACCCTTGAGATGAATATGTCTCCTGACAACTTGAGTGCGATGATGGAGCATTGCGCTGATGAACCCGATGATGAATATTGTTTGAACCATGAGCGAACATTTACATACATCTGCGGTCCTTCCCCAATATGAAAGGGTTTCCGCGCGCAGCATGAGAATTTCCAGACTGTAGCTCATAGCTGGCATCATCCCGTCAGCGCAGGCGGCACTTCGTTCGTGAGTTCAATATGGCTCGCGTTCCAGTCCTAATGCGACGGTCACAACTACTCGGCCTGGATGTGTTGAATGGTGGGCAGATGCAAGGGCAGAAGATCCTGGTTCACACATTGATCGATTGCTGTTGCAAAGAGTTGCGATGAGAGCGCCTAAGATGCCTAGCTGGGGAGAAGCCATGCATGCGAGTCGAGTATGAGAGGCAAAGCGGCGTGCGATGGCAAGGAACTATTCAGGCGTTCGATGCGCTGCGCTAGCCGAAGATATCATCGAGTTGTCAAGCCCCCTCCAAAGCCAAGAAGACAAATCAGGCCTTTGCATTCCGGACCATGCTTCTCTTCTCGGTTGTGCTCGTCTGTTCTGAGAGCTTCCTGCCACATTTCAGGCTTATGCTTCTCAGGGCGTGTCCCATTTGTAGGCTTGGCCATATGGGAATAATCGAGGCTATGGGTTTCTTGAGTTCCTTCAGCACGCTTTTCAAAGGGGGGCTTCGCATCGTACTCCGCACCGAGGAATGACCGGATGTGTCCCTCTCGACCCAGATTCCAAAATTCCTTAGTCTTGGGGGCAACGCCTCTCGTGAGTGGCAAGGTCCAGATCGTTACCGTACGAGCGAGCCCAGCTTCAACGCCCTGGATGCGTGAGGCATGCGAAAATTGCCATGATCCTGTTGTCGAGAGCAACGCCTCGGCTATCATAAAGGTTCCGGAGTGAAGGCTCTCCACCGGGTCAGCACTTCATTGGTGATTCTGAGCTTGTTTTTCATCCACTCACCGTGCTGCGTGTACTTGGAAAACAAAGAAGTACGTTCCAGCGCCCATGAACCCGGCAGCAACTTCGGCCCTTCAGCGGCTCGTGGTCGTGCAGGCGCTGCTCTTACAAGCATCGCTGTGACGATCATACAAAGGGTGGCAGCGCTGCTCCAGCATCGTAGCGTAACCATTGCCAAAGACAGAAAGAGTTCTCGGATGACGTGGAGATAGTGAGGCGGGCGAAACAGAGAGGAAGCGAGGAGCAGGACTGACCACAAGTTGTGGCAGCAGGTCGGGCAAGGATGAATGAGGGGCCGAAAATGACGAAGAAAATCTCACTGCCGCGCTTTATGCCAGGTTTCCCTGATTCGTAGTCCCATCACCTGAATTGTGACGCCATCGACGGAGATGGATCAGGCGCATTTTTCGTCCAGGCTCCGGGCCGTGGCAAGAGCTGCAGTATGGCGAGGTTAAAGGGCTTCTGTCTGCACAAACGCCTAGCCGACCTCGTGCTGGTGTCTGCGCACCCGTCCCTGGCTGCAGGGCACCGGGGCCCGGATTGACGCGGGATCGACATGGCGTGTTCACTTGAATGGAGGAGCCGGAGCTGACACTGTGTCATGAACCGTCTCGATTTTTTCTCTTTCTTATCTCCAGCGCAGTGTATCTGGAGAGTCGAGGTTCTACCGCCGCTCCTCTCAGCTGAGTTGCTGAAGATATAAGTACCTTTGGGCTGCGCCTGGCATCTTGGTCCCTCTGATACTGCTTACTTGAAGGCCTGTCCGGGGCGCATGGGCACAGAATAACGATGGTGAGTGTGTCGCACACTACGGACCGGCGCCGCGTGCCTAGCAGCCAATAACGTTGTTCTCATCGTTGCGACGGTCTGAGGCACTGAGTAGGTGTAGAAGCAGGTGAGTTGGCAGCAATTTGTGGCGCAGCGCCGTGCTCCACAACCGCTTGCTTGATCATACCCACTACACTCACACCTGGGGTCTCTTCCGTGGGCAGTTGTGGGACTCCAGCCTTTGACGTCTCCCAGACCCTCAGTAATCCGATGATGTCGTCCCGCATCTCCTTCGGATTCCTTCTCTCCAAAGGAGTTCTTGTGGAAACTCCCCTAGCTCGTTGTCATCCTTGTGAGCGAATATGTTGAGGGTCGACCCACGAAGTGCCCATAAGCAGCTGCAGACCTACAAGGAGCGTACTTCACCCCGCGGCAGGCGTCCCGTGGTTGCGCACTCGGGCACGCAAGAACCGCGACACACTGCCGTGAGCGACAATGTACTTGCGCCGCCTTCTCACGCTTTGACAGGTCGGGACAACGCCTTAACGAGTGAGCGCTGGCCGGCAGAAGCCATCGTAGTAAGAAGAGATCAAGTTCGCATCAAGTGGAAGATTGACTAAACGATTTCGCAGAAATATATGGACGTGCATCAGAGGGGACCCGTGCACTACGTAGACTGCTCAGCTACCTCGAACATAAAAGGGACCGCGTGTGCTCAATCAATAGCGATCACTCATTGTAATGTCGGTACTGTAGCTCTTCGCTCACTGCTTCGATACCAAATGTCTTTCACTGCCTTCCTATGGCTGACCAGAAGGCAAGTGGCCAGGCACTATCATGTAGTCCAGGTGGGCAATGGTCTCCCAGCAGGCAGCAAGCTGCCTTGCCTCGATGCAGATGTGAGCATCAGCAGCTGCATCTTGGGCCACACGTGGGTGGGCCTGCGCCACCACCAGGAGAGGTGGTGATTCTGACCCCTGACATAGGAAAGATCCTGATACGCTGCTCCATGACAATGATGGAGACTTGCGTCTGGCTCTGCTTGACTTGGAAGTGGGTCAGAAAGAACCAGTGCTGCTCAAGGAGGGGGTGCACCGGGCGCATTCCAATGAGCGCTCACATTGCTCAGTCTGGCTTCTTCTGCATTCCATCCACCTCATCCGTCCAAGTACTTGCTTCCTCCCGAGTGGCACAAATCTTGGTTCCCAGCGGATGCTGGTACTCAAAAGTGCTCTTGTGCTGGCCATTTTTGTAGCGACTGAGGCACTTGCACATCTGGAAATTGGTGATGCCAGCTCTCTGGGCTGCGTATGCAATTTCCGTGTAATGGGAAGTCTGCACTCCACCACGCAGTGAGGCGTGAAAAATGGGGCGGCGTGGGCTGCCCACATCTCGCTCTCTGCGCAGTTGCTGACTGCGCGAGATCACAATGATGGGCCGAGTGGAAGTGCTTGGAGATGTGTGTGTGCCGAGATACGAGGCCATTCCGGAGGGCGGATAGGTATCAAATGCAAAGCGAAGACAGTCCCGTAGGGCGGATGGGAGAGGGGTGGTCGAATACAAAGCCAAGACACCTTTGGAACACAGAAGGGAGAGAGGTGTCAAAGACAAAGCGAAGATATCAAGGACACCGGGAGAGAGAGGAGTGTCAAAGACACAGGAGACGGAGCCCACTGGTCAAGCTGGTCGAAGTGCAGAGCCTTCAATGGTCAAACGGTCAGAAGCCAAGATGGATATGTACACAATTCTGTCCCAGTTGCTCGCTACTGTCAATCTGCTCCGAGTTGCGCTGCGCATGATATATCACAAAGCAGCTCAGCCCCCCTCATCGCCCGGCACAAGCAGGGCTACTTTTCGTTTTTGGTGCAGCAGGAGGCGACTTCGAGACGTTGCTGCTTGCCTGGAATGCACAGAGCTGCACAGCGAAAGGGGTCACAAACTCGTCTTGCGCAGAGCGAAGTTCGAATCATGTAGCGTCCCAAGTGATTCGTCTGTTCTTCCGTTCTCGGTGGGTGAGCTCGATGTGATAATAGCATCGAGACCTCTTGAGACTCTGTCCAAGGTAAGACCGCCTCGATCGACAAATTGCGACAGCCGGCTTTCTTTCGTCAAAGTCCATGCCTACAGTGTCAATCTATCATACGACTAGGATTCATTTGTACCTGCGTCTACCTGAACGCGGTATCGTGGCTGCACAGGAGGTGGGCACTGCATGGTAGTCATTGGTGTCCGAAATTTGCGAGACGTGGCAGGAACCCAAAACAAGACCATTTTCCGATGAGAAAGTACCGCTTTGAACGTTGGTGTATTTTTGCTCTCGTCTCGAGCTCCGTCAATCTCCGCTTAGTACGCTACAAGCTCTAAATGGACTGTCACTTTCACAAAGAATTGCGAGAGCGCGGAGCACCGAGTCCAAGCCCAACGCGTGCTCGTCGTGGGTCTTGCGCGAACATCGGTAATCTACCTGCTTTCCAATTTCTACTGAATGAAATTGAGGCAGTGACCACCATACGCAATGCACAAAGCCACGCGCACGACTCGCGCCGCCTCTCACACTTATCGCGTGCTTTGTTTTCAAGCGAGTCCTTCTTCGTCTTGTGGCTCCAGGGACACAGCTATGGCTCACTCGGTGCTCGATGCGCGGCCTCTGACACCAGCCCCTGGATGGGTGGCTGGCGCGCTTGACACATTTCAGAAGTGCTCCGCGAGTATGACAGGTCGGTAGCGGGACGACGTTTGTCTGAATCGCTACTCTGCTTCGAGTCGTGAGTATAAGTTTCGCTGCTCCACTACTGGACTCTTTTGCCCTCTTTCCGTCCCCATTCACCTTCTTTCATTTTCGTTTCCCTTCCTTCCGCCCTACATGTTCCACGTCGTTCACGATGCATTTCTTTCAGTCTCTCCTCGTCGTATGGCTTGCTGCTTTTGCTGCTTCTGCCAGCCCACTGCCGTTAACATTGATGTCAGTCTCTGTCGAACACAACCTCGCTCGAGTAGCGAGCTACCATCGGTCGGGCCTCTCCATGCCCTGCGCCGCAGTCGTGCCGGGTAAGCATCTCTGTAGTGGGGACGCGGACGCTGTCTCGCTGACACAATTGGTCAATTGATCTCCAAAAACTCATCACTTAATCTGTGCATCAACAATGCCTCTTTACTTGGCAACTCTCTTCGACTTCACAGGGCGATTGCTTGATCTTTCTCGTGTGCTGCCGCATGTTATTGGCAAAGTACCTCTACGTTCGGCATCAACACTTTCGCGTAGAGGCTTCAATCTTCCAGGCTGGATGGCCCGAGCCTCCCAAAGTGCCATTTATGTACCCGACCGATTCAAGCGAAGGGAGACACCCTTCATCAAAATACCGAAAAATCTTTCCAACAAGACGCGCAAAGAAGGGCCCGCATTTCCACCAGTCCACAGTGATGAGCACCTTCGAGATAAAGGCCCAAGCTGCGAGGGACCAGGCACGTGCACCTTTGGAATTGGTGGACCGGGTCTGACTCATTGAATGTACAAGCTGTGCGTGAGTTGTACTTTTCTGAGGGGGGAGGCAGTAGAACGAGACTCACTCTTGCTGCTTTATCCGTCGTTAGGCTCGTCAAGCTGCTGCATGCCCACAACAGCGAAGATGTTCGCTTTGTAGCAATTCTGACCGCTTACCGTGACATTTCCATCAAATTCAAGTCTCTCTTGCTTGCTTTTGACTCATCAAAACTCGCTTGCAATCAATTCCATTACTGCCACACATGCCGCTTCCAGCTGAAGATCTCACTGCCCTCCTGGTAATTGGACTGGTGTCGCGAACGATCATGAAATCTTTCGTGGACGTGTGAAGTACGGCTTGCACGGCTCAGTCGCTACCTCGAAAAGGCCTCTTGAGGGTCACTTCCTCCGCACCTGTTGCAAACGCTTGGAGCCTGTTGCACAGAGCGAAGAATCGTTTGAGCTGCGCGGCATTTTCCTTCGCCAGATGTAGGTGCCGAAGATCGATGGAATCGCTTGGATGATTGATTTCCGAGTCAAGCAGGACGGGCTGCGAAGTTTGCGAAATCGCCGTGAGCGCGAGCACCAGCGCGTGCAAGATGTGTCAAAACCTTTCGTGCTTTGTTTCACATCGTTTTTTGCTATGTGAATTATCTTTCTTCACCCAAGCCGATGTGTACGTAGAGTCTTTGACAGCTCGGCGCCGGCAATTCTGCCTTAGGCTGACAGAGCCAGGAATGGATGGGTACAACGCACGCTCTCCACGAGAATTCTCTTCTCACTTTCCCCACGGTCTCCCTGTCCAGAATGATTAATCGTAGAACAGAGATACGCACTGCCGACCCAAAGCATTAAATTTCTGCCTCTGTTGAGTGCTTCTGATCACATTTCTGTGGCGCAAAGTATCTTTACTTATGTTTGTCGTATCATCAAGCATCGTGACGTAGAGTAAAATCTCAAGTCAACAATTTTGCTAACACAATCTCAAACGCCGAGGTGTTCGACCGCCTTTTTGCGTGACCATAGAGCTGTACGGTAGAGCCTCGCGCTCACGCGAGATAATGATCGAGTCCTGACAGGTTTGAGCAGTGAATGATTTTGAGATCTTTTTGGGTTCAGCTTGAAAGAACCGGAACATTGTCATTGTTTAAGGGTCAAACGCCTCACCGTTGCTCCACCCTCCTACGCATCAATACAGTGCAGAAGTATTATCTCTTCTAGACCAGCTTGCAACGGGCTGTGGCTGCGCATGAATCATCATCAGTTTTGTCGTACTAGTCGTGCAAGCACCTTTGAATAGACTTCGGGCAAACATTGCACTTTTAGCGTGCCCCAAATTTTTTGAGGTTTGCGAAACAATGACAAACGTGTAAGCGGTTGGCAGCAACTTATGAGAACGTCGCAATCAGATCATCCAACATTCTATGACGCTGTCCACTTGGGCAAAGCGTGGACTATGCCAGAGTGGGTTATCGAGTACGTGTGCCACGTTCTGTCACTCAATAGAGTAAGTACACCTCTGAGCGAACTTCGGGTTCACGAATTTTCCAGCAAAGCACCTTAGATAGCTGCAACGCTGCATTGAGTACTCTTAAGATCGCAATGATTGAGAAGTCCCCTCGTTATTTTTCAGGCAGACGTCAGCCCATGGAAAAGATCTGTTGCAGTTCACAGGCCTCTCTTCTTAAAACATCCAGCACAGCAGCGTTGCAAAAGCCGCATCACAAAACCATCCGACCTTGAAAAATTGGGCATGGGATTGTAGCGGGGCTGGCTGCCTGCTGGACTTTCCATCAATCATCATTATTTACTCGACGATTTGCTTTGACCATGACAAGGTCGGGGTTGACAAGATTAAATTTCCCCAAGACGTGCCTGCTGCGCGGTAGGTCTCCTTCGACGGCCAGAAAACAGGACAATCTCATTTCGTGCAGCCTCACAGCAATCTTAAGGGCATCTTTAGTGGTTTTGGCTGCTTGATCTGGACCGCAAGAAGAGCAAAGGGAACAGAGCAGTACGTAGCGCGCTTCGAATTTGGGCTAGGCAACAGCGAGCGCGTCCAAGGGCAAGATGGAGTTATCAGGTGAGCTGCAACAAGTCTTGCAGTTAGACCCCTCAATTAAAAGATTCTGAATTGCTACGAAGAGCCAATTCTACAGGTTCCTCTGTGACTGTTTGCCACGCGAGATCGCGCACGCTCGACCTAGACGGACCGTTTCCATGCCCTGCCCTTCGCCGATCAATGTCTAACAAACGCTTTGCGTGCATTGCAGACGCATCTACCCCTCCTCAAATCCCTGGCAAGACCGTGTGTTGAAGTGCGACTGACGGGCTCGTGCACTCAACCTTTCGAGCTTACTTGCGCCAGGCTGCTGGTCTCTCCATCCCATATCTCGCATTGACTCGTCTTCAGGCAGAAACTCCAAGATCAGCCAGAGGCGCTCACGCCATACATGGCGTGGATCTTAAGAATGGTACAAAGGAAAAGAAAATACTCCAGACACGTGTGGCTCTCTGTGCTCGGCCGGTCAATCAGAAGGGCTGTCAAATTATTTGCACGTCCGCCGGCTTTTTGGTTCTGTTTAGAAGGATCGTCCGCCGGCCTCGCCGCCTTTTTTCGTTTGGGAGACGAATACCTGGCGTCTCGCTCTGCGGTCATCAACATCAAGTGTGCCACTCTGAGTTGGTACACTGGCAAGCGTTAAATTCTTGGCCGCGAGTATGGTCAGGCCACTTGGATCGCCAGTCCCAGTGGAACGGCGAGGAAACAAGAAAAAAGGGCGCGCTGGCAATTCGTCTCCACAATTTCTGTGGGGCTTGGCTCACAGACGAACCAACTTTCGAAGTGAAAGCAACCCGTGGCATTCTCACTCGTGGATGGCGCCGCTGAAGCGCTGACAAGAACGGGATTTGGGGTCCGAGCAGCTGCACGAATGACGGACTCGGCCGAGTTAAAGAACAGGGGATGACTAATTTTGCGCTGAGACTACAAATGACACCCTTTTCAAAATCATGATTTCCTCTTCTTCCTTGGCAACGGAGCATTGCGATCTCCTGCCACGGGCTGCACATCCCATGCGGCTGCTTCTTGCTGAGGACAAGTATTAGCCCAATGCCCCGGCTGGTCGCATCTGAAGCACGTCCCACTACTATCGCGTGGCGGATCACGAGCAAACCTGCTTCCGGAATTGCGCAGAGCGGTTTCCGACTCGGACGGACATTCGCTTGCCCAGTGGCCTTCTTGGCCACAGTTAAAACAGGCTTGTGTCGCGCTAGAACCGCCCTGTCTGTTTCTTGACTTGGACGAGGCTGATCTGCGCGAGTTGTTGCCAATCGGACATTCCGAGGCCCAGTGGCCCTTCTGCTGGCACAGGAAACACTCGCCAGATGATCCTGAGGTGATACCGAGGCTACCGGATATGGCGCCGTCCTCGGGAAGCCATTCGAAGAAACCGCATCGGGAGATGGTCGACTCTTTCGAGCAGGTGTAAAAGTGTCGACCCTTGTTCGGACCCTCCTGGACGCGTGAAGATGAGTAAGAATAGTCCGAACGCGCGCGTCGACCTCCGGCGATTTGCCAAAGATGCAGCTTGAACTCACCTTGTTGACTTGGCACACTTTAGCGTCCAAATCACATCTGCATCTGACCGCCGGAGTTTGCTCTTTTGGAGGTTCAGCCAGACGCCGCAAGTGTCTGATCTGAGCGTTCTGCAGAGCAAACAAAATGTCAGCGCGCCCGCAGGAAGGGACTGGCGGCGCCACCGCAGATCTCCGCCTCACTGGAGAAAGATTAGCAGCGTTAGACCCGAACGCTCCGGTGCCGCCGTCGGCATCTGTCCATGCGAAGAATCCGCAGCCACCTTCCTCCTTTGGTGCTGAACATGCGTAAAACTGCCGCCCCTGGTTTGCTCCCGTCTTGTTTACTGTGCGCGTCACAGAGGGTCGACAGCATCGACAATGAGGTGTCTCAAATGAAGCAGCCGAAGTCCGACTGGACGCCGCCGAGGCGAACGTTGATGTCGAGGCGTTCATCGAGCGTGAAGAACTAGCTGAGGGGAAGGACCGATCGGACAGGTCAGGAGCTGTCACTTCTGGCCGTCTATCGCCCCTTTGAACATTGCCGGGAGCGACTTTAGACGCTAGAGCCGTGGTGGTTTTGTCAAGCCGACGATCAACAACGCTGGCTTGTAAAGCCTCCGGCCCATTGGGACCATTCCTGGGATCGAGGCCTTCGAGACGGCCGTCGCGTCGATTGACCGCTTGATCGTCGAACGGACGGACTGGGGAGGGATGCCGGTGAGCGTCGTCATTTTCGACCAAAGCTTGTAGCATAGCTTGCTCGTCTAGCATCTCAAATTCATCATCATCGACGGGCTGAAAACCGTCGAGCTCGTCTTGAAATGCAATACGTCTCGGAGGAGCAATGGATGGTTCGCCGGCGGATGATCCGAGTCTTTTGACACCATTCGACAATCGCTCGGTCGACCGTGGAGCTGCGACCGCTTGCACGTGTCCATTAGCCTGGATGGCAAGTCTGGTCCTGCCGTGCCGCGACGCACGAGAGCTAGTGTCCGCGGACGCCCGTGAGGGTTCAGAGACGTCGTGAAAGATGTCATCGTCCGAGTCGTCGTCGTCAAAGACAATGGCAGTCTCCGGGTTGAAACCAGTCCTGACAGGAGCAGGCAAGTTTGCATGGCGAGCTGCAGATCCGGTCGATGAAGAGGGAAGGTACGAGCGCCTGTCCTCCGGAGCATGGGTCACGTCAGGCTCCGAGCGATTACCAGTGACAGAGCGTGATCGTACTGGACTAAGATTCTGGTTGGTGTTTGGCGCCCTGGACTGATCCGGAGCGGGGCCAGCTGGCTGATCGTCGGGTCCGCCGCCAGCAATTTCCTCTGTCGTGGCGTTTTCGTCACCTTGTTCCACACCTCTCAGGTACTTTCGCACACTCGCAACGACGGTGCCAAGCTCGCGCGTGGAGATGATGAACATCTCCCGGTACTGGGCCAGGCTTTCCTGAAGGATTTCACTCTTCGTCGACTGGCCGGTAGTAATGCGAAGGAGCCTTGCTTCGGTCTGAGTTGTAGCGATTAAAAGCAGTTAGAATCCCTCGCGCTGAGGAGTCGCACGGTGTTCCTCGCCAAAGAAAGCACGTCTGCACTTACCTCACGCCTTAATTGCGGCCCACAAAGACCTCCAGTTCCAGTCGGATTGGGCATGTCGGAAGTTGATGCACCAGATGCTGAGCCGGTCGTCGCTGGATATCTAATGGCGTCATAACCAAGAACCAAGCCCATGCCTAGCGTAGAAGGAACTAGATAGGTGACCCTGCCACCGTTCGGATCGCCGGACCGCGATGCAGCATTGCTGGCTCCTCTTCCTCTCGCACGAGCAGAGCCTCGCGCGATTGCTCTAGCTCTGCCTCTACCTCTGCCTCTTCCACGCCCAGACCTGCCATCTGATCCGCCCTCTGCATCCTCACTCGAGGTCGTTTCGAATACGTAGCCCCTTTCACAGACTTTTTCGATGTGTTCAGCAATTGTCGCGTCCGTTCCGATACCGTTGCGGTCCATCAAAGCGACGAGATCAGCTTGCGTTAGTAATTTGGGCGCGGTCGTTGCCCCCTCCTTGATGCTGAGATCGGCGTCCGGGAGAGCAGACGGGAAGGTTTGGCCTATTGTGTAAGCAGGAAGAATGGACGTCGACCAAGTGTCGTAGGTGAAGACATCGAGATAATTTCGAGCCAATATTTGGAGGCCTGCATTGCGCTCACGCGTAAGCATACTTCCGCACTTAAAAGTTGACACCACGTTCGAAGGGGCCTGTCACTTACCAGAAGCGCTGAAACCTTCGGTGCCGAGCTCGAGAGCGACACTCGTCTGCAGTCCCTTGGCGTCAAGGTGACACCCTGCCAGGAACCTCCTGGTAACATACTCGTAGACTCTCTTTTCGTCTCCCGAGAGATTGCTGGCGTGCCTGGTGGGGTGGATCGGCGGATGAGCGTGGTCGTTTTTCTTGCCATTACGCGGTCGAGAGAAAGTCCCTCCGGCTTGTACAACGATTGGTCCTTCCTCTGCGTTGGCATCGGTCGGCTCTGCGCTCGAGCCGACGCCCAGAAGCGAGCGGGCAAAGTTTCCCCACGAGGCGTCGCCACACTGTTTGCGTATGAGACCCAGAAAGTCGAAAGACGCATCGTATTGATCGGTCTCGGTGCGAGGGTACGAGAGTATTCCTCCTTGGTACAGCTTTTCCGCCACCTAGCGCTCCCAATTTGGGTCGGTCAGCGTGCATTTCCGATGCGACTCTGGAGACTCACATCCAAAATCCTTTTAGGGGACAGCCGCAACAAGCGTGAGGCCGACTTTTGTAGCTCGACCGTCGTGAGCGGATATGGTTTGCTGAAATGAAGAGCATGCTGTCCGGTGAGTGTTCGTCTTCGCGCCCACTGTCACCGCTTGTGGACTCACAACTTGCTGACTTCTTTGCGCTTCACATCTTCGATGCGGCACATTTGTCCCCGACACGCGACTAGCCGCCTGCGCACATCAGCTTCTTCAAAGATGTGACCGCGGTCCCACTTGAAGGTGACATCAATGCCGTCCTTTCGGTGGTAGAGTGATAGGTACCAGAAGGCTTCCGGCAGAAAAGTGATGGCGTCGACGTATCTCTGCACGACGAAGGAGAGGGTTGGGAATTGACATGGGCCTAAATTGTCCCCAAAGACCGCAAGGCACGCGACAAAGAGGGCGTGAGGAACGGAGCGAGTACACAACGTTACGTTGTTCGCCTCGCTGCACTTACCCCAGCTCACGACTGCCTTGTTGAGTTCTGCGAATTCTTTTTGAAGGCGCAGAGTCTGCAAGCGGGTGAAAGCTGCACCCAACCGCAAGTCTAGCTCGATGCGCGCCTCCACCGCAGATGCTGCCAAGTGGTCGAGCGCAACGGGGGATCGCATAGCCGTGTGAATTTGACTGCGAGGGACAATGGGGGCGGAGGTAAGCGCTGCTCAAGGAGATGCGAAGGGCAACGGTTCTGCACAACTAACGCTGGCACAATGGCGCTGAATCTCGCCCTCTTGGTGATGATCCTGTGGTTGCCTTCTCTGCAAGCCATCTCGACCTCCTTGCCAATCATCTCGCCCTCCCTGTCGCAGTCCGTCCAGATGATCAATTCGTCCGACGCTCGGGCTAGATTCTTGAGGTTTTGAGCCACCTTTTCCAAGCCAGGCGTGACGAATGTGCGGAGAGGAGCTTCGAACAGTGCAGAAGGTTGGCAAGACTGCCATGATCGGTAGGAGGGAGGAAAGTCGTGGGAATAGAGGTGACCTCGCACGGATGTCATGACCACCGAGACGCCTCTGCCATTGAGCGTGTAGGGAAAGGTGAAATTGCGAGTGTACTGATCCAGCGCTGGTTGCTGTCGTCGAAAAAGAATGGGGAAAGCGATACGCCAGGCTTTAGTGCGATGGTCATGTTCGCCAGGCCTAATCTAGCTTAGCACACTGCGTCATTTGTCTGTAAAAGGACTCACCGACTGCGCACGACCTCCACTGAGTATGTCTGCGAGCGATTTGGCGCTAGAATCTGTTGAGACGGCAAGGATGACTTGGTCAATGACACTGTGACACGACTGTATGCGCATGTTTGTCTACCCCTTTCCCTCGCGATGCGCGGATGGGGTGTGATTGTGATTGTTTGGGGGCATGTTGACTGATGCGCACCTGGCGCGATCTTGCTGGTGACTGAGAATCTCCGCTTGATGTCCAATGCAAAGCCCACTCACGCTTCTCGGCCACACATAGCACCCTCATCGTCTCAGCCCTCTGCAGCACGAAATTTGGGCGATGGGCACTACCGACACTCTAACAGAGGACGATCCATCGAGGCATACATGTTGCGAGGCCTAAGCAGTGGGCATGCTGTCGCTCAAAGAGATAAGCTGGCAGCTAGAAATGGCCAGGCCGAGATGTGAGTTTTGACAGAGGGAGCAGATAAGGAAGCCTCCGTTGACCAGCGGAGCTGCTACGACGCGTGAAAAGGCTGCGTGCGGAGCCTCGAGTCGATGGTCAGTGTGGATGGCGCGGAGGTGGAGTAGGGCGTCGAGAGATGAGAAAAGAGATTGGCAAAGAGCTGGGGAGCAAATGCCAAGCCGTGAGATTTGGTAGTCGCAGTGCTGGAGTCAAGCCAAGAGTCAGAGTGGCAGCATGGTACAGTCAAAAGTGTTGGTTGCAAAGGGTCAAGGCCGGCCTCGCTCGGTGCGGAATCGACCCAGGCGCGCGTTCAACCTCGACGCGTCGTTCGTAGCCTTTCCCGTAATTTCAAAACTTGGCCGGTCACTGTGCTGAAGAATGATCACGTGATGTGGTATGCATCAAGTCTGTGAGTCGAGAGTCGAGCGTTTTGAGTCTGT